AGAGAGAGAGAGAAGAGAGAGAGAGAGAGAGAGAGAGAGCGTGTGTGTGTGTGTGTGTGTGTGTGTGTGTGTGTGTGTGTGTGTGTGTGTGTGTGTGTGTGTGTGTGTGTGAATAAACGTGTAAGTGGAAAATATCAAGGTCAGACAGGAGGGTGATATCGGACCCTCTGTGGTCATGCTTAATCGTAGCTCAACTTGATCGGTCTGTGCCGGTGTAGCTCATGTTGGTGGCCCCTCATTGGTTTGTTCCTGAACTTATGATTGGCCTCCACTTTTTAATCCTGCATGAGGGGGCGGAGTCTCCTGAGAGAGGAGAGTGAAAAGCTCTTTAACAAGACATCTTCAGCAAGAAGGCACAGAAGCTTTCCTACAGGTATGTACCTTCTTTCTTCTTTCTCTTGCAGAACAGCTCGACTAGCTCCATGCATCGCAAACTGTTTGTGGATTAATTTGTAAAATCTGTTTCAGAGAATATAGGCTCTGCACCATCTTGACTTTGATCTTTTGGCATGCTTTTGACATTTTTAGTTTACATGCGCAGGCTTACCAATTGAGTGCAGGATTTAAAAGTTATGTTTTGAATAGGGATGGTGGATTGAAGCCGAAGTAATGATGAGATGTTATATTCAAGCTGATGTGTAACAGAAAAAGTACTGCAAAGATGCAGAACTTGATTTATGCATTTGGTTCAGAAACCTTTGCTCTCTCCAAGCAGTTTGTTGTTGCACTTTTCTTGAAAATATATATTTTTGACATCCTTTTGAGTTATTTCACTAAATTCAGAGTTGATATTAACTCTGCTGTGTCCTCTGCAGAGGACGAAGCTGCTCTGACGTCCTAAACAGACTCCAGCAGAGTTAAAAGGTCACAGTAGTCAGTGATTTGGAGTAATCCTTACCTTAAGACCCTAGATCCACAGGGTCAGTTTGCAGGGGAGGCTTGACAGGATGAGATTTCAGATTGGCATGAAGGACTAAAATTCTTGCATTTCCATGTCTATGTTTGTTGCGTCACCTCTCACCTGATTTTTCTCTCATGAGGGTCCCGTCTTGTGACCAGATCATAATGTCACTATGTTATCAGCCAGGGATGAATGTCTATTGGCACTGTATCCTGGCAGCATAACTTTTCTCCAGTGATCTATAAATAATATTACCACTGACCCAAAGAGTCCACTGTCATTCGCCTCTAATCATTGAGAGGAGAGTCATTGGGATAAATTCAGTATAAAAAGTCCTGTGGTGTATTGGGGGAATGCTTTACTTCTCAATTACTAGTGCGGTTCAGATCAGCCATCTTTACTTTGACAGGATTAACAGGAGTAATGATGTCCTTCCAGCTTCCTTCTATATTAAGACACAGTCTCGTGGACACTACCTACCCTCTGTGAAGGACAGGCTAGAATCTGACCTTTCATTAGGAACATTTAATTCAAGTATTGCATTAACATTTGAAATCCATCTTGATGGACATAGCCTATATTAACAATACTGAAAATATACTTTTTTTCTTACTGACTACTACAGACGGATTTCTTCCTGAGCTGTCTCAAGTCCCACTTTTTCCTTTCAGCTTCAGACAGACGTCTGTTCATTAGCTAAGCCTTCGTGGATGTATGAGAGTTGCAGGTGGGAGACTGCTAATGCTAAGAAGCTAAGAGCTATCCCACCTGCCACCCACTCTAAGCTTGTTACTGTTCCAAAGGAAATACCCAGGGGTCTTAATCCCAGCCGGTGTGATTTACCTTACATGTGCTAATTTATACTACCACAGAAGATTTCAAATAAAAGTAGCTAGTACACCAAAGCTAATTAGCTTTGCTAGCTTCTGCCTATTCTTTACTGATCATTACTATGAAGACAGTTTGATATTGGTAAGGTTACGATTTACGGGTCAAAGGTCACAAAAGTTGAATTTGAAGCTAAAATAAAATAGATAGATTTTTTAGATTGTTCATCAATGCCAAATAATGAACTTGAATAATAGGAATTTATATTTAGTGGGTTCTTTTTTTAATTTATGTATTTCTTTTTCGACAGCTCATTTGTTTCTTATAAAGAGTTACCTACTATCAGAAAGATGGCTGGCTCTTTCACACGTATGATCGCCGGACGCAACGGGGCTGTGCTGTTGGCCAGCCTGGGCGCGGGAACCATGGCGACTGGTTTCCTGATGAGTGATAACCCCCTAGCTGCTGAGGTCAGGACAAAGCTTTACCCCCCCAGGTAAGACCAACACCACAGGGCTGATAGAAACACACAGATAGAGGGGTGACCTTGACTTGTCAGTGAATACTTCAAGCTCTATAATTATCAACCTGTTAAGGCAGATATTTTAAAAACTGACTACGTGCTTTGCAACATCACTTGTTCATTTCAGAACAATGACTCATTGCTTTGTGTTACCACAACAGAAACAACTAAGGGGAATTAGTGGAATGAAACTTATTTATATATACACATATAGACGAGTACATTACTTAAAGGTGGGGTAGGTAATTAACTTCAGAAACACTTTTTGTTATATTCCATGGAATGCTCTTAACATCCCGATAGCAATGAATAAATTAAATGCTTTGACAATAAATAAAAAATGTCATCTGTGGAAGCCGTGGCGCTGTGTACTTTTCGGTTGTGAACTTTCAAATTCTAGCGCACTCGAGCTGGTTTCTCCATTCTTACCTATACCCTACCTTTAAGTACAATTTTCAGTTATTTGATCTTTGAGTGTTCACATTTATGAAACTTTATGCTTTAACTCCAAAACAGCTAAGACGAAACAATATGTATTCTTTACTACACTACATTTATCTCATTATTTTTAAAGTAATTGAAGGATAAAGTGTTCCTTTAAATTCTCCTTCTTCTAAAGCTAAATATACCCCTTGAATTAGCTGGAGAATGCAATGTCACAAGGCTGAATGCAGGTGTTTTTTCTGAGATCATTAAAGTCAAAAGATGCATACTTTCACCACCTCTTGTCCATAATACTCTACTATTTTGTGGTATGAGTCTGTTTACTTAAGTTAAGGATATGAATAACTTTTCCACTCCTGCTAAAAGTTGACATCAGAAGTGTTAATTCATTTATATAGTAAAAGTGTTATATAAAAAATGATATGTCATCAAAACATTTTGAGTGTGGACTGCGTAAGTGGGAAACTGAGAGTATTAAAGAGCAGAGGTCATACAGCGTGATTCTGGAATCATCTGCCCTGATCTCTGACGCTCTCAAGTTTCATCTATGTTACCTTTGACTCACTCCCTCCCTCTGCCCAGCTCTTTCACAGAACTGTTCCCCCTCCCACCTTCTCAAACACCACTGCGTAAATCGTAATTGATACATGAGCAGAGTAATGACAAACATACACACTGTTGTTAATTGCTTTTAAATCGCTTTAAATTTAGTTACACTACCTTTACTTATAAATAGACTATATATGTTTGTATCAAAGTAAACATTTTAAAGCATTTTTCTCTCTTAATGTGGTACATTTCTGGTCGAAACAGGATGTCTCCTTTGCAATTGTAAAGTTTCAATTTATTAACTAAGAATGTATGTAATGCAAAAAAAAATGTTGATACAGAGACAATAAACCCTTAGTCTAAAGTTTTCCTGAGTTCTGTTAAGCATTCAGCAGCAAAAGCACCATCTCTTTCCCTCAGGAGTTGGTAGGGACCAAAAATGGAGCTAAAAGAGTTCATATTTGTCCGACATTAATTAGTTGGAAACAAACACAACCTTAAATCGATGACAGGGTGGCTCTGTGTCTGGGTGTTAATATATATATATAATCAACTTATGAAGGGTATAATATGTTAATGTTGTGAGTACAGCTAGTTGTTATTCCGACAAATGGCAAGAAAACAGGTAAATGTAGACTTCAATGTGGACGCTTGTTCTTGTTTAAGGCAGATTATTTTCACAAAAGATTTCTTCAAGGCATTTTGAAACATAGCTTGTTGAAAAAGCATGATGTAACCATAGTTTAGGATCATTAATAGACTGAGTACAGCTTGTTTTACCCTACAATTTCTTTCTTTCCACTTCTTCATTTTCTGCAGCTCTGATTTCCCCGACCTGAGGAAACACAACAACTGCATGGCCAAGGCTCTGACTCCGGCCATTTACGGCAGACTGAGGGACAAGATCACCCCCAACAACTGGACCCTGGACCAGTGCATCCAAACCGGAGTGGACAACCCCGGACACCCTTTCATCAAGACCGTGGGCTGTGTGGCTGGTGATGAGGAGAGCTATGAGGTATGAGAGGTCAAAGGTCACATTGTAATTACCTTTCTTTTAACCATGTCCTCTGACTGACCCGCTGCACCAAATCCAGATGAGAGAATATATGAGTTCATAAATAATTTAATTCGCTGAGTAATGAGCTTAAATGAGCAGCAGCTAGCCATGCAGCGAGTGCTTAGATGGAGGTCATTGAGGCTGAAGGCTTTCAATATGCATTAAAATACCATCTGAAAAAACATAATGGTTTTATTGTATTATAGATTTTGTGGTACATGATACTTATCAATTTTATATTACCACTTAGTTTTGAAACTTTGATTAATTATTCTTTTATTTCTTTTTTTAAGGTATGACTATTATTATTTTATTGTCTTTCTTTATAGTGGTTGTGGTTTTCTTTGTATATATGTGCGAATATATTATTTTTTAAACATTCAAGGAAGGCTACATTGAAGTCCCTTCACCTCCTCTGTTGGATTAAGATTTGAAACAAATGTCAATATTTGATTTACCGGATATATTCCTTGAAAAGAGTATTTACCTTCATCAAGGACACTTAACATGATTTTAATTAACCCTTAGATGCACGAGTGACTGGACCCTACACTCTTCCATAAGTGGGTCAAAAAGGACCCGTATTAGAATAATATGTGTTTTTATGCCATTTTTATCATTTTGGTTGAGAAAAATCACTTGTATAATATTTGGTATTATATTTTGATTCACACTAGAAATATGTTATATTTAATATTTCACTATTTATAATTTTAGACATTTTTTTACATTTTGAAAAAAAAACGAAATTCCATAGAAAATGCATGCGGGTCATTTTTGACCCACTTATGGAAGCTTGGGGTAGTAATACAAAAACTACAATTTCTTAAAATCTATCAAATTTAAAATTTGAATGGCATGATATCCAAAACATGTTTTTTGAGGAATAGCTGGAATATGAAATGATAAAAAAATGAAAAAATGAAAACCACCTCACCGGGTCAAAAAAAAACCCACTTACGCATCTAAGGGTTAAAGGTTCAAAGTTATTTTTGGATTTTGAATCTAGAATTGTATATTGTTTGAAGAAAAAAAAAAGACACTTGACTCTGTCCTCTGTTCCCCCCCAGGTGTTCTCTGAACTCTTTGACCCCATCATCAAAGACAGGCACAACGGCTACGACCCCAACACCATGACTCACCCCACTGACCTGGACGCCTCCAAGGTGTTTACACCACTGCATGATCCCTGCATCCACCTGCTGTTCTTTAATGTATTAAAACTATTTGTCTTTCTCGCCTCTTCCTCCAACCTCCAGATAACCAATGGCGTGTTTGACGACAAATACGTCCTGTCGTCCCGTGTCCGCACTGGGCGCAGTATCCGCGGGCTGAGCCTCCCCCCCGCCTGCTCCAGGGCGGAGCGCCGTGAGGTGGAGCGGGTGGTGGTGATGGCCCTGGCCGGCCTGAAGGGAGATCTGGCCGGACGCTACTACGGCCTGCAAGACCTGACAGACAAGGAGCAGCAGCAGCTCATTGACGTGAGTTTCATCTTTGTTAGACACAGAAACTATACACATATTTTTATTACAATACCCAAAGTCATAATTGGTCATAATTTTCTTCTGAATATTTAAAGAATTGTCCCAGTTTTATATTCACAGAGCAGCTTTTTTAGGTAATATGCTTTAGGAAAACCTGACCACTTATCACAGTTTGTAGTCTTGGTTTTATACTGCGGACATCATTTGTGAGAAGTTAAAACTTTCCCCCCCTCTTGATTATTCTCATTTTTAAGGATTTTACAAGCATGAAGAGGCTATAGTAGTTGAATAATTAAAAAGGTTACCCTGTGTTTCCAGTCTTTATGCTAAGCTAAGCTAGATGTCTGCAGGCTCCAGCTTCATATCTGCTCCACATCTAGCACAGTAATTGTACTGTTCTTCTAACTTATATTTTTCTAAAATGTAAAACTATCACTTTAAGTCTAACAAAATGACCCTGAAAATGTATCATCTAGTCATCTTAGACTAGCTCTCTTTAACCTTCAAAGTATTGACCTTCCTGTTCTGATTATTTCATGCTGCGCCACAAAAGGATCATTTCCTGTTTGATAAGCCAGTCTCTCCGTTACTCACTTCGGCCTTCATGGCCAGAGATTGGCCCGATTCCAGGGGAATCTGGTAAGAACTCCCATCCCAATGCTGTTAGTGCTGCCAGTAATGAGAGGAAATGCTTGCAATTCATCGAGCCTCACCCTCTCCCGGTCTGAGAAGTCCTCCCTAACCCTTATTCTATTCTCTCCTCTGGAACACAGTTAGTTTTAGAAGTAATTCACTTTAACGTCCTCCTCCCTCTGTTTTCTACCTCCCTTTACCCACCTTTCCCACCTTCAGGACCACTTCCTGTTTGACAAGCCTATCTCTCCTCTGTTGACATGTGCCTTTATGGCCAGAGACTGGCCTGACGCCAGGGGCATCTGGTAGGGTTTATTCAGCTCTCCTGCATGTCTGCTGTGTGACTCTATAGACCTCCACCTCCTGACCCATGCAGTGATAAACTCGGTGTTGGAAAGGAACTTAGTACACCTTCTTATACTGGCAGCTTTGTTACCTTTTGATATACAATTCTTTATCCACTTCCTGTTCAATGAAAACCATGTATCTCCTGTTTTGGTGCTTCAAATGTGAATGTTTGTGATTAACTAGTATAGAAGTTTTCCTTAATGGGTCGAGAAAACTCAAACTTCATAAGCTAAATAAACAATTAAAAAATATCTCGGATCAGCAGGAAAATGCATAACAACTAATCTGAAAACAGGCCTTTTTTTCTGAACGTGTGAAAAGTAAAAAGGTTTTAGAGATACATGGTGCTCACAGGACAGCAATGCAAACAATAATCTTATAGAACATATCTTTTTTAACTGTGTGTACATTTCTGTACAATAAACCACCCACAAGTATATAAAGTAGTTTAAATGTACACAACCTAAAACATCTCAGCCGTTAAATGCGACACTGTGACGCTCAATAAGTGTTAAGATATTGCCCTGTTTTTGATGCATGTTGCTGGACAAATATACCAACAGGACATCGTTTTTGTGTTTTATATTTATTATGCTGCTATAAATGCATGTCTCTCACATATTAATGCAGACAGGCAGCATGATTATAAAATGTTCTTTATAATCAGGTCCTTTATGACCATGAGTCGTCTCCTGTAACGAAAGGAGTGTTCTACCTTGAGAGCCCTTTAGTGAGACTCTTTAGCTGTTTCTCTTCAGGCACAACAATGAGAAGACCTTCCTGATCTGGGTGAATGAGGAGGACCACACCAGAGTCATCTCCATGGAGAAGGGAGGCAACATGAAGAGAGTGTTTGAGAGATTCTGCAGAGGACTCAAACAGGTAGAGTGGAGCCTGTGAAACAAACACAGACATGATGTAGCAACGGAGCAGCCATCTTACTTTAGGGGTGGTGGGGTTTGTCTGCCCAGAATTATGGTCTAACAGAAAAGTCTAAACAACTTTTGGAGGGGTTACTATTAAAGTTTGTACACATGGATGAATCCTACACACTTGATCCTCTGATTTTTCCTCTAGTATAAGGTTAAGATATTTTGTTTATAGTTAAATATTTAGACACATATTGGATATTATCATCATTAAGTCAATGGTTTAACTTGTCAAATAACAGTTTTTTTTAACCAAATACTGTAAAACTAATGATATTCCCATTAGTTTCAGCTAATACAAATAATAGAGCTGAGGCTCTGTCGAAACAATGCTAATTCATTTGTTTGTAAAAAAGATGCAAGCAATAAGAAGACACATAACATAGTGCAGAAGTTAAAATCTAAGGATAAAATGAAAGATACGTATAGTATAATAAACTATGTTTGTATTTGTGGCAGACGGGTGTACAGTAATTGGTCAATTGAAGGAACTGTAATGTTAACAGGGATTTAGTGAGTGTAATTGCGTGATAAGATTATAGGGAAATATATATTTATTAAGTAAAGAAGCTAAATACATTTCCAAAAATCTAGGACGTCACCATAGAGCAACAGTATAACTCAACTCTTATTATGGGATGTCTCATAGGTGGAACAGCTGATCCAGGAGAGAGGCTGGGAGTTCATGTGGAATGAGCGTCTGGGATACATCCTCACATGTCCGTCCAACCTGGGCACTGGACTCAGGGCTGGCGTGCACGTGCGCCTGCCAAATCTCAGCAAGGTATTACCCTAACACACACACACACACACACACACACACACACACACACACACACACACACACACACACACACACACACACACACACACACACACACACACACACGCACACACTCCATGTTCTTGTGTATAATAACAGATTTTTTCAGAAGAAATGCAGATGGGATCTTGTGGTGGGATTGATTTGTCCAATTCTTGTTTCTGCAAGATCAATGATTAACTTCCAATCTTCACTTATGCCACAGCTTTCACAGATCAATACAAATTGACTTTTGCATCTGTGGTCTTGAAATTAAGTGGCATTTTACTGTAGTTATGACCGAAATTATTCTGCAGGACACACGTTTCTCCAAGATCCTCGACAACCTGCGGCTGCAGAAGAGAGGCACAGGTGGAGTGGACACAGCTGCCACTGGAGACACCTTTGACATTTCCAACAACGACCGTCTGGGTAAATCTGAGGTCAGGAACAGTAAATCATATTGCATTTAAAAAATATATAGAACCAATATTTTGTTGTGGAAATGAACTTTGCTGTGTGTTTTTAGGTGGAGCTTGTCCAGATGTTGGTGGATGGCGTCAACTACCTGATTGAATGTGAGAAGAAGATGGAGAAGGGACAGGACATCAAAGTCCCGTCTCCCGTCAACCAGTTCAGGAAGTAAAAATCCGAACTCATCACAGCACCGGTGTTAGTGGGGGGGGGCTCTCTGCTCCGAGCTCCCCCCAAACCTCAGAGACGTCTGTCCGCTGCTACAGGTGGTTTCTTTACTTCTCCAACAAAGATTGCAAATCTTTATAACCTAATTTTAGTCATGGACTGCAGTTAGGGGGGATTCTACCTCAAGTTCCAGGTCATCACTATTCCTGACTTCAATAAAAACAAAAATAAACACTTTGACTTTTCTGTGATTTCTTTGACTCATCTATGGTGGCCTTGAGAGCCAAACGCATTTCAATACAGAGTTGGAAAGTAAGTAAGTATATCTACTCAAGTACTGTTCTTAGATACTTTACTCAAGTGATTTTATTTTCAACTACTCAAAATATGTTATTTATTTATTACTGCAGTACATTTTTTTGATAACTTTAGATACATGAAACTCTGCACATTCAGATTAATAATACAAATGTGAATGTACAATCTAGCATGGCAACATTTTAATCCTTCATAGACGTCCCAAAGCATTATGGGAAATGTAGTTCCAAGAAGTATTGCATGATTATGCCTTAAAGTATATGACAATGATCATTATGTTGCCATATTACCCGTGTCCCAGTAAATAATGTCAAATCTTTATTCATTCATGTCCTTTTTGTTCTCCATTTGCAGTTGGATCCATTGCCTTCTCATGTGTAACAGCATGAGTCTGCTGGTGTGCTCTGCATAGTCAGCTGTCAGTCTGTTGCCTGGCTATAATTACATTTTGCTTATGGATGGAGAAAAGTAAATTAGATCCGTTTAACTGCTGCCCACAGCGATACTGCAGGTTGAACACTAAATTGCAATGCACCAATCAGGCCTTTTCTTTATATATTAATATTGCAAGCATTTTGATGAGTGAGGTAAGCAGGGGTTGGTAATAATTGAAGAGAGGGTATCATCGTATTCAATTCAAAATACAAATGTCTATTGAATTGGATGCCAACTTCCAAAATGAAGGAGTTTTAATTATAAGAGACTTTCCCCCAACATTTCAAAGTACAAAAACGTATCAAGGGACACATGGATGTTGTTGCATGTTCACAAAGATTGAATGAGGAATTCTGCATCAGTAACAAACTTTAATTTTTATGTACTGCAACAGGTGATTTCACAAAGTACAGTGTATCATAAGGGAAAGTATAAACAAATAAAGAAAAATAGATATAAACAACAGCTTTAGATTAACTGGGTATTTGTGTTGTTGAAAACAAAGTTTAAAATCTGTAAACAGGTCTGCAATAACTAATAATCGGGAAAAAAAACATTCAACATCTAAGTAGGCAGAACAGCACTTTTGATCCTTTTCTGATATTTAACTTTCCAGGATGCCACCCCTGACAATTTTTCTTGTTTTTATCCAAAAAGAAATCAGTAGAAAGAAGTCAAAACAAGCAAAAGGTGACGCCTAGAGGCCAGCGCCTGCCTATCACCTAAGACTCCAGATTTTTTTTTTTTGCCAAAGTGAAACGGAAACACAAGCCTCTATTAAGGAGTGATTGAAGTGCTAATAAGAGCAGGTATGCTAGAACATGGCATCTCTGTGTATTTTAAGGGTTAGAACAGGGCTCTTTGACGGGACACGGAGAGGAGGTCAACAGCAGCGAGCGTCAGTGAGGGGCCTTCAGTCAACGGGCCGCTTTTCACTGTGTTTCTTTGTAAACTCCTCGGCATTCTTCATGAATTTAGCACGGTCTTTGCTGTACTCCTCTGCCAGGTCGGCCCTCAGCGGATGCTCCGGCTGGGGGCTGTTCACCAGACCGACGAGATTGAGAATCACTGGAGGCGAGAGGGAAACATAATATATACATAAGTTATACACAACAGTCTTTGATTAGATAGCTCAAACTGCAGGGAGGAAACTCTTCTTGCATTTTGACACCATAATAGTCGGAATCATTTTGATTTCCGTCTTTCAGTGGTGGAGAAAGTATAACAATATGTGCTTAAAGTTACTTTCCCCCTGAATTCCTGGTCGATTTGGCGCCACCTGTGGTTACAAGCGGTAACAGCAGGTGTTTGTCACAATTTCTTGGTGGTATGCCAGGGGAATTTCTGGCTTTCATTTTCTGTTCAGTGGAAATCATTTCGATGTAATAAGTGTTTGTTCGCACTATAGAGGTTCCATCTGTTGTTTTCGGTATGTATGCTTTTTTTAAACGACTCCTAAAATGTTTGGTAACAAGTGGGCTTCTTAATATAACATTTGGTAACATTTTTGACAAGCCCTGATAGTCCAAAAACAAGAACTATGTTAAAGGGTTTTAAATATAACGGAGGCAAAATATATATTCAGGCAAGAAGTCAAAATCAAACAATCTTTCCGAGCAAAGAAAACACTTTTTTGTTCCAACATATCTCTGTATAGTAGCTCATCTCACATACGTGTTCTTATATGATCAGCTTACACATGATGAATGAGCTTCTTTGAGATGTGGTTATCCAATCATCATGCTCACCTTGATCAGTTTTGGTGGCTGGCTTCCAGTTCTCCACACTAATGATGGGCAGACAGACCTGACCCTTCTCATCAATGTTGGGGTGGTAGATTTTTGTCTTGAAAGTGACCTTAGGTGGCTTAAAGGGGTACTCCGCGGGAAAGATGAGCTCAATCCTAAATGCTCCTTTGTCATATGGAGCAGAATCCTTGAAGAAAACAAGAATTTATAGATGAGGGGGGGGGGGGAGACAGAAAAAAGTTAATAAACATTAAAAGATAGAACAACTACTAGCTACAAAAGAGCAATACAAAATATATCAAGTCAATACTTACAGGAACAAGGAGCCCTTGCCAGTTCAAAAGATTTGTTTCATCTACTTGAATATTGCGGAAATGCTTCGCTCCGACATTGCGCATTTCATCAAGCTCCTGAAACAAAACAATTGATTTTATATGGCATAAAATCATAGGATTACCAAGACCCCACTGACTCGTAATGATTATGCTTGTATACGTGCACCAGCGGCGAGTGTAGTCTGATGCAATAATGTGTACTTTTGTAACCATACATTTTGAGTTATTGCTTATTATTATTATTGCATTCCAGATTTATTTCACAGCAAAACAATCTACATTGATGAATAAGCCCGGCTATCACTAAAAGTTAAGGGGAAAATATGTTTCAATATCTGGGTAAAGTGTCCCTTTAAGTACTTTCTGTAGTGTCACTTAAAACATAAACTGAACAGTCTCACCCGATTGCATTCCTGTTTATCAACATCAAGGATTGGATGCCTCTAACTTCCTATAATTCAGTAGCAATAAAAACAGATAATTTGATCTTTGGTCTGGAACATCATGATCTACAGACACAGTCTTTCCTCCCTGCCAATTTAAAACCTATGGCAAAAAAACAGGGATTTTTCAATGAATAACCAAAGTATCTTTTTAAACTCTCTTAAAAGGTGGGGTAGGTAAGTTTGAGAAACCGGCTCAAGATACACTTTTTGTTATATTCCATGGAATGCTCTTAACATCCCGATAGCAATGAATATCTTAAGTGCTTTGACAAAAAATGTATTAAAAAAAATGTCATCTGTGGAAGCCGTAGTACTGTAAAAAGCACGACGTGTGCCTTGGCAGTCTCAGGCTAAAATAACTGGATGGCCTACCTGCCTGTCAGCCTTCCATCTGTGCACAAACTTATCTCGTGCCCTCATTGGTCATGTGCGCGTTCATGTGTGTTGGAGGAGGGGCTCTGTGAGGAAGTGGCAGATTTTTTCCGGTTGTGTATTTTCAAATTCTAGTGCACTCGAGCTGGTTTCTCCAAAATTACCTACCCCACCTTTAAGTAATCCAGAAGCCAGATCACTAAAAGAATATGTTTGAAATATATGTTTGTAACCTCAAACATTCCAGCCACCCCAGTAAAATCTTCTGATCAAAACCTCTTTCACCAACCAGACGTGGTAAGGGTTATTATCTTTACCAATACAGCATCAGTTAATGTTTCCCTTTTTTATTATTACAATGTTTGTGAATTATTTAAAAATACATCTCTGCTCCTCTTCCTGTCATGAGACACTTCCCTGTTATATACCTGTAATGTAAAACTGGAATATATGGGGATTTCAGAAAGTATTAACAAGACGTCTCTCGTGACACAGGTGGATATCCTGACAGTATCATACACACAGCTAAATCAAAACTGCTGGTATGTCATTATGAGAACAATCTACTTAAAATAGGCCTTATAACCTCCCAGACTTTCATTGTATTAAATGGCTGTGTGGTCACTATGGTTATCCATATCAAAATGATGTATCCCTTTGTTAACACGTCTCGAGATACATGTATTTAACAAAGAGATGATCAACTTGTATCATTAAAGCAACTAAAGCTGTAAAAAGAAACAAGTACCTCTGAAATGGAGAAGTATAAAGTAGCCCAAAAAAAATTGTAAATAGTCACATAATACCTCAAATGTATTCTGAATAATAATAGCTATGAATAAATGTACGTCGTTACATTCCACTATTGTTTTTTTTTTAAAAGAGAGATTCCAACGTTCATCAAGGTAAAATAAAGGAAATCCGGCTTTATTTCACAATACAATCATTTTCTGAGAGATATTTTGCCTAGAGGAGGCTTGACGTCAGGTCCCAACCCCAAAGTCTCCATGTTTTCTCTTCAGCCTTCAGACAGTGACAGCGCGTAAAAAAGAGCCGCCTCACTTCTCACCGTGAAGCTGTTTAATAAGCTCCCCCGATTCAATATTTATATAAAATATAGTGTACGTCCTCAAGCTTTATCTGACAAATGTCCCTGCTGTGTGCTGTGTCACGCCACAGCGGCGTCTCAAACTTACAACTAGTTACCTCTCAGTCACCGTGTGTCGGACGTCATTATCCTCTCATTTTTGTCGGACAGATAAACGCTAAAGTATTACGTTAAATTAACTTTCTTTTGGTCGACAGTGGTGTATGTATATTCATAAAGCCGAGACAAGTTATTTAAACCCTCGCTAGCGGCGTAAAATCAATAATTATAGATATTTTAGTTTACCTTCAGTAGTCTCCTATTCATTGTGGTACCGATGTTGTCTTCTTCTCCTTCTTCCTGTTTCTTTCCGTTCCTGATCGACTTCTTTACATCTGGGTTTAAATTGGCGCACAGCCTGCGGGCCGGTGAGTTAGCGCCACCTACCGGCCTGGAGGGCAACGTGTTAGAATCAGATGAGGGCAAAGTTTCTTCTTTTACACAGATTTAAACAGAGACAGATAAAGTACTCAGATTATTTACTTAATTAAAAGTAGCAATACAGTGTAAAAATACTCAGACACAAGTAAAAGTCCTGCATTCAAAATGTTACTAAAGCAAAATAACAAAAGTATTATTATCAAGATAAAGGTCAACAAGTAAAAATACACATTTGGCAGAATGGGCAATTTAAGCACCAGATATTTTGTATAATGGTATAATAATTATTAATTAATGAATGTGTTGTAATGTGCACTTGGTAAATGTGGGGTTTATTTGGATAACTTTCCTACTGGATACCTTTAATTTGTAGATCCTCGCCAATAAACCTAACCAATATTAACTTTTTTTTCTCAAAACGTTATGTATTTACAACAACAAAATAGCAACAATACCAAAACAATAAAAGCATCTACACGCCATGTAGTGGAAAACGTATTTTTTGTTTCAAATAAAATAAATGTTCTTAGAAAAATGTGTTGGGCGTCTGTCGATGAAGCAACCTTCTGTGGATCATCTTGTTGCAGAGGACTGATATGATTCTCAGGTGCAGCAGACTGCTGTGGAGCCTCTTTGGACGTAGCACCCTCTTGTGGTAGGTTACGGGTCCCTTCAGGTGAGAAGGGTTTTGTTTGGGGTGTCTGGTGGTTTTACCTCTTCAGACCTTATTCTGATGCACTGAGTTGAAATTGTTTTATTTCAGAAATGAAAGGTTATTGACTAGAAAAAAAGTTTGTTCTTTTTTTTGTTCTTGCCACTTTTATTTGTTTGTCTTTGCTTTACTTTACTGTGAAAATGTAAGGTTTTTAGCTCGCTCTTTTTAATTCTGAATGCCAGGTACAAAAAATAACTGTCCTTAAATAATAATAATGTTATTTAAGCGTTACTTAATTGGCATAATACATACTTTTTTAAAGAAGAATTAAGTTATTTTGCTATGATGGTGGATTTTAGAGTAGTTTATTATTTCACCTTAGTCGGTTATCCCTGTATGATAAACTGGTAAAATTAGTTAAAGGTTTCAAATGTTCATATAGTGAAAGTCCCGCATTTAGAATGTTACTCAAGTAAAAGTAAAAAAGTATTAGCATCCAAGTATTAGTATCAAAATAAGAAGTAATCATTATGCAGGTAAAGGTGCAAACATGTCTCATGACTTTGTATACTGCAGGTTAGCTTGTTAATGTGACTCCAGGTGTATCTAGAGTCTTTAAATGGTTGTTTATAGTACACATCATTAACCCACATCTACAAAGTAACTTCAGGTATTAAATAAAGGTAGTGGAGTAAAAGAACACTATTTATCTCTGAATAGTGGTGGGGTTGAAGTACAAAGTAACACAAAATGTAACTCAAGTAAAGTACAAGTTCCCCAAAATTGTACTCAAATACAGTAGGTTACTGAGTAAATCTAGTAATTAATTACTGCCATGTCCATAATATGATACATCTTAAATGTAAAGTAATTTCTTCAAATACTATATAATACGTGTGTAAATATGGATATAGCTGCCATAAAAAACAAAATTACTATCCCTTATCTGCACTATCATCCCAAATAATTGCAGTTTTGCTTACAGGGAAATTACATGGCAGTCTTCCTACACTGTGCTGAGCAGATCCTGTGACCTCCCCCGACAGTCTGTTCAAGATGGCCGCTTGAGTGGAGAATTTACACATCTCCAATAAAACTAATCCAACAGCTAGCTTTCCACACAACTTTATTTGCTCTAACTGATAATGGGACGACGGTACGGGCGACGTGTGTTCCTATTTTAAAACGAAATGTGAGAATAATTGTTGAGGACGACGTCGGAGTTATGGAGTAAAAACAGTGCTGGTAAGGAATTCAGAAACAAAATCAGGTTAACACACAGTAAGCTAGCTACTTTAGCCAGCTAACGCTTTCAATAATAATACTAACAGGCTAGCTTTGGCTAACGCAACACCTGCTTTAATCACGTTAATTCCAGGTGACAAACAACAGGCTGGTTAAGGATGCTTCACGTTAAAAAGTCATTAACAATTAGCTACAGGCAGCCCTATTATTAACACTCAAGCTAAGTGTGTGTTTGTTGTGGTGAACTGCTAGTTGCTAATGTTACCTGCTAACGTCAGTTGTTTCATATGTTTTGTGAGCTAACTGTTGTGTTGTTCGGGTTAGTTAGCCTGTTTGCTAAACGGTTAGCAAAAGGTGTACAGAGTAGGCAACTGTTAACCTTCATGTTAGCTTTTTTTTGCTATATGGATTAAGTTGAGTGTATACGTGATATTGAATGCTCTTTAAATGACAGGTAAACGTTGTATTAATGATATATAGCTGGACACCGGTTGCCATCATTGTTACCACGGTATATAATATGACCAAATCAGGGATGTCAGCAGTTATGCATCTGTACACATCTACCAGGTTACCTGAGTTAGAAGATGTATTAAGATGTAATACTATACCTTAATAGAAGCACTAATACCTCACTTAAATAAAGACACTTGTAAGAATGAAAGTGCAATAAGGATGAGAGTGATAACACTGTAATCTGTAATGACACTAATGCTGTCAGACAAATGTAGACTCGTAAATTATACAGTATTTGCCCCTGAGATTGCCAGCAACTTTAACATAAACACATATTACTGTCATCACTCTCATCGCTATTAAAGATGACTGGTGTTAACAATTGGTAACTCCAAATGTATGGAGGTGCATATTTTTTCTGTGATAAGATGTGTATTTAGTAAGGCTGACTTCCTCATTCCCATCTATATTTAGCATCCATTGTTAATACTGTGACACAGCATACAAATATAGTTGCTGAAGGATAAAGTAGTCAAAAATTTTGTTTGCGACACCAACCAACACAATTACACTTTTTGCAGACTTTAGTATTGTCTGTGTTGTGGAGTCAGTACAGCCAGTTCTCTCTTTACAAACAACGTTTAAGAATCTACATCTGTGGATTTCTATGGAAAAAAATACTTATTTTCTACTGAGCTGCCAAATATAGTCTTAGGGCTACATCTGTGTATAATATGGATTCAAAGGTTCTTTTTAAGGCACCTGCTTGTTATTTTTGGAAAAGAAGTGGACTCATTTTATTAAGGACCTGCTATTGTTGTTGTTTTTTTTAGTTGCTTTCAGTTTGAAGTTATTTTTAATCATTCTACAGATTTGCTTTTCTAAAATACGACCCATTTCCATTCACAGTGATATTTATTGAGTTCTGATATTAATGTTATAAAGGCGTTAAAGTCTATCCATGAGTGGAACTCACAGGTAGGAGAATTAGCTTTTTCCCTTTACCTCTAAGTGATCAGTATCAAGCAGACTCCATTGTTTATTATCAATAGTGCGATTCAGGCTGTACTTTGTGGGTGTGCCTTTATTATGGGTCTGTATTGTCAGAGACTTACAGTAAAGTGCCAAGGGTGTTGTTGTGTTTGCAGTTTTTGTTGTTATTGCATGCAGTTAGCTGCCTGACAGTGCATCAGGGAGTTAGCCCGCTGTGCCCCAAAGCACATTATCTACATTGGCCTACACATTTCTCTCTTCCTGTGAAAACAATCTTGCAGGTATCTTCCCTCAGAACAACCATTACATCAAACATACGCATTTATCCTCTTACCTGTAAGGCTATTAATAAAATCTAGATTGTTTTGCACTACAATTAAGAGTTTTATTGTAAGTTTTATTTCACTGAAGTTGAGATTAGCGCAATTGAAAGTATTGTATCACGTTGTTTTCCTCTCATTAGGCGACAAAAACACACACATGTGGCTGGCCATCGGAAACTAAACAATATGACTGTGCTGTGCGACATGGAGAGGGAAAATCCCCCTCAGGTGGTAGTGATCAAGCCTCAAACTTTAAAAAAAGGGAATCAATAGAAGTTGTTTTCACTGCATACAATGAGAAAAGTGGAAAGATAATACACTTTAATAATCAGAGTATAAATAATGTTTAACCCAGAGGAAGTGAATCAGTTGGGGTTGGCAGTAATCTCTCTTACTCACATGTTGACTGATCACATGATGTGACATAACATGTTTGCTGTGCAACTGGTCTGTGTGAGGATAATGGCAACAGTTCCTTTTTAATTCAGGTTATATAACATACTTATAGCTAAGATGGTGTTATTTCATTAGTTTTAATTTGGTCAGCTTTTCAATTTAGAATTACAAAATTATACTCTTGCTTTGAAGGAGAAGTCTTTCACTACCACCAAATAAACCATAAATAGGATTAAAAACAAAGTGTTTAGCTTTTTCCCAGTATTGCAACAAGTCTTCTTTATCCCTTCAGGAATTGGAGGGGGTTGAAGGCCCTTTGATTTAGCCCAGCATGGACAGCTTCTTCAAGGCGGCTGTATGTGATCTAGACAAACTGCTTGATGACTTTGAGCTCAACACTGGTAAGATTCAAATTAGGCTGTACATTTCATATTTAGAAATTATGATTAAACTGTTTACTGATTTCTCCATTCATAATGTCATTCTGTTGAATGCCAAACCAAGAGGGATAAAGCCCAAGTTGACATGAATTATTTTGTCCCATCAGTTAAAAAAAAAATTGAATACATAATAATACAGAACATAGAAAAGCATACATTTCACCTTCTTAAAAAAATGTTTACGAAAGGAAATAGTCAATAAATAATGCTGGAGTAAATATGTAACATGTATTGCATGACGTTGCTTTATATAAATCAGGTAGATGGATTTTAGAAATTCATCTGTGATGATATGAATTTTTTTTTGTGTATTTATAATCTACATAAATGTGTATTTATCTGAGTTTAACATAATTTGTTGTTTTTTGTATTACAGAGGAACATGAATGCAAGTCTGTTTTCCTGAAGCCTTCTGTGTACCCCTTCTCCTCACTGGGCTCTCAGTGTTTATCCTCCGAGGCGTCCACTGTCCCTCCAAACCTCCCCGACCTTAACTCTCTTCATTATGGTTCTGCCACCAGCTGTCCTGACCGCCCCAGCAGTCAGGACCGCAGTGCTGATGACAGGGAGGTAAAAGGTCAGCCTCTCACAGGGGTGGACCTCCTTTCCTCTGTGGATTGCAGGCCTGCTAAAAGCTCCGCACCTCCCTGCCCGGACAGAGCTCTGAAGCCAGTGTGTGACCTTGTGAACGACACAAGCTCAGCCATCCCGGTCAGGGCCAACAGCCACGATGCTTTCAGTGAGCTGGACACGGTGGAAAAGCAAATGGAGGAAGAGGAGACGCTGCTTGTAGACTTTGAAAGCCCTGTGCTGAATGTACATAAAGAGGATCAAGGACATTCAAGCCTAAGTGCAGAGTGTTCAGACACATCGGAAGCAAAACAAGCCTCTGGAGGGATGGAAGAGCTGGGTTTGGATTCCCAGGAGCAGCAGAGCGGTGGATACTCAGCCTCGCTCAGCCTGCTGGATGTCATTCTTCCTGCTGCAGTCGAGAGGAGCAGTGAGTCCACGGAGGATTCTCCGAGGCCCACTGAGTCAGCAGAGAAAGAGGAGAGGCATTGTGAGGAGGAGCCGTGCACCAACCAAGCCGTGGATAACTCCTTAGACCATTGTGAACCGGAGCCCACTCTGCCTGGTGATTGCATTCAAGAACCAACAACAACCTCAGTGAATGAAGAGGAAGCCTCGCAAGAAGACTTGGGTGAAAACGAGTCCTCTGTCGATGTCAATTCAGAAGAAATTGAACCGGGGAGCTTATCATGCCTGCCGTTAGCTGTGTCCATGTGTGGAGCTCTCGTGAACATCAACACTGAAGAAGATGAGTCGGGGGAAGCTGCAGAGCTGTGTGAGGAGGCAGCGATCACCTCTGAAAGCACCGAGGCAGACTCCCTGTCAGCCTTGGAGGCCAGAGAGAACAGGTCACGTTTAGAAGAAGCTGTTAACTCGCCTGTGTTCGTGCAGGTTTCAGAGGGCCGGGTGTCGCCAGAGGGGCAGCATCTCGCTCCTGAACCTGCTCCTCCTGCTGTCCCCTCCGCAGACATCGCCTCCTACGATCTCCCAGAACCCAGCCCAGTGGATCTTCCCGAGTTTGGCTTTGAATACCTGCCTGAGATCGACCAGGCCGAGCTGCTGGTTACAGACGAGGAGTTGGATGCTTTCCTGCAGGCGCACGCTGAAGCAGAGCAGGGTGGCGGCGTCTCTTGCTGCAGCAGCTCTGGAGATTACTCTCAACCTGAGAGTCTCTCAGGGTCAAAAGGAGATCTGAAGGGCAGGCTGGTGGGAGAGGAGCTGAGGAGCTGTGGTCCAGGGAGACGGGATGATTTAGAGGGTCTGGCTTCTCCAGAGAGCGACAGAACAATGTATGTGTGTGCAGAGGAACGTTTGAACCCCAGTGCTCCATCACAGGACTCAAACAGACCTTGCCAAGAAGAGCCAGAACTCTCCTCCGGATTAAGCCTTTCTTTGACCAGCAACACTTTCCAGTCCCAGCACAGCAGTAGCCCCGATCAGCAGCCCTCCTATGGAGGTGCGAGACCTAAACAGCTACACTGCCAAACTGCTAGATCTCCACCAGCAGGGGAAGAAGGAGAGGAGCATTCTCAGACACTCACTGGTTCTACAACAGATCCGAGTGCAGCGGAGGATGAAGACAGCTCACCAACCAGTCTTACAGAGGAGCATTGCAACATCAGGGATCTGAGCCCTATGTGTGCCTCCCAGGAGCATCAGGAGTACAGTATGGGCTATGAGGAGCTCTCAGAGCCCCCTCCGTACCCCGGGGAGTCGCCCACTGAAGGTGCCAGGGCGGTGAACTGGAAGAGAGAGGGGGGGGAGGAGCTGGGCAGCAGACAGCCGGCCTGGGTGCCAGACTCTGAAGCTCCCAACTGTATGAACTGCTACCAGAGGTTCACCTTCACCAAGAGGCGGCATCACTGTCGAGCCTGTGGGAAGGTATGTTGCTCAGCTTGAAAAATATTATAATATCATGTAGTATATGAATGTATATAAATAATATATGTATAATTATCTTATATTCATATACTTTCACTTTATTTTCTTCATTTTGTTTACAGCAGGTTTCACACTTCTAGCCAGCTTTTAATACTATAATAACCTTACATAACCATTTTCCCTTAAATATACAAATAATCATTTTGTAATATGTAAAAAGTGAACATATTTTAAAACAAAAAAAGAAATCAAAGCTTAAAGTGACATGTGCTATTTTCTCTGATATACTGCCCAATATCCCAAACATATTCAATTTATTATCCAAGAATATATTTCTCCAGCATTTGGCTTTAAAGAGCCTGTGACACGAGTTTCCCCCATCATCCAAACCCATCAATTTGAGTAAATATTGTCCCCTTGAAAACCGTTACTGAACTGATTTTGGATATTTGTACTTTGATAACCATTAATCTGCCCTTCAATGTTGACCATTTTCTGGATCTTCTCGGGGATTCTTCAAGTCCCGCCAAATTATGTGTGACGTCATTGCGGGCACAGCGCTCCAGCTGCACCGTTCAGGATCCCAGTATCTGCATGTAAACGCACGATGGGGCACACAGCAGCAAGCTCAGACAGCGATGACAGTTTAATTTTGAACGTGTCTGAGAGCTCATATGAAGCTGAAGGATCGGTTTATGTTGTATCTGTTAGAAGTTTAGGAATTAGGTGCGTCAATATGGGCGATCATACGGTCATGTAGCCAGTGGTGGACTGGGACTAAAAATCATCCCGAGACTCTCGACCGGCCCACTTCGGTACCGCTAGTAAATTGTCAACGGGGGGAGTGGGGGATGTGCTAGTGACTTATCCGACCGGGATTCGTCCCGATGGCCAGGACGTCCGCCACTGCACCCAGCCCAGCCCACGTAAACTGTCAACGGGGGGAGCCTCGCTGCGGGGAAACGGTGGACCTAGTGTCCCAATCGGAGTGGGAATAATAATAATAATCATAATCCGTGCATTTTATCCATTAATTAAACGGGAGGAAATTCAGCAGCTCTCACTACCGATTTTTAATCCTAATTTAATCATCATCTTCACCACAATCATTTATGTTTATGTTCCCCGAATTGACATGAAAGCACTGACAAATATGAATATACTGTAGTCAACTTCATTAAAACGTTATTAACGTGCCTAAACTCAGTAATTCACAATTTCTACGCATGACAACAAACTTTGTCCGTGTTTGGTTCTCTCGCCGCACAGTGAAGCGTTCCCGCATTGACGTCACTTCCGGCTTCCCCCAAAACTTCAAAATGAGTCGAAGGAATTTCCCCGCAATGTTCGAAATTATTGTTATTTATCGGAACGGTATCGCACCTTCTTTTTTAAACTGACGGTTCGATATGACTAGGAGCCCAATATTTCATTGCACAACAGTTGTTGGGATGCTGTCACAGGCTCTTTTAACTGTCGCACTTTCTGTTGTTTCTATCGCGCATTGCCGGTATGAAAGGATCTGTGCCGGAAATATCAAACATTTAATAAAAGTGAAAAACATGAACAAGACTTAACGTGTTAATAATAATTAATTATATTTATTCCGTTTGGATGTAGGATTTTTGACTTTGTTTAGAGCAGCAGTGATCTTCAGCAGAGAGCTAAGCGCT